TAGTGAAAGTGATAGCCAATTTTGAAAAATCACGAAATGCTCTATGCAAATTATCGAGAAGTTTATAGATCGACGAAAATGACACGAAAGTAGGCTTAAGTTTGTTACTTTAGAAATTAACAAAATCAATCTTAAATCGTGACTTATATAGTTCACAGTTTTTGTGAAACATTCAAATTTTGAATGACACACCCCGATCCAGAGAATCAAGGCGTGCTGGTCGTCACGTGGGCGTGACGTAGCCAAAAGTGCGACACGGAAGCAAGATATAACAGAAATATGAAGGAATTTAAAGCAATCACTAGCAGTAACAACCTAGAGGTCGCACTTGGTGCGATGGCAAGTGCCTTCGCCCATGAGCGGTAGGTCTCGGGTTCGAGACTTGGGAGCAGCCTCTCCATAAATGGGGGTAAGGCTAGCCGACATTTACCTCTCCCAGACCCTGCGTAAAGCGGGAGCCTTGTGCACTGGGTACGACATTTTACTAGCAGTAACAACCTACTAGTATAAAAGGATGAGTTATAAGGTAAAACACACGAATTCAGAGCGTAGGTATAAGTGCAGTCAAGTAGGACCATAATTAAAGTATAACACCCGCAGGTGAGTCCTACATGTAGAACGTCTGCAGAATGCCGAAAAAGACCTCGTGAGCCACCAACTGCTAACTAGAACCTGGAGGGGCGCAAAACAAAGATGAGTGGGTCAGTAAAACCAAAATTTTCCAAAACATTTCATTTAAAACATTTCTAACCCCTCACCGTAAAACCTGTATACTTTCCCAGAAAAATAGTATATAAACATATATATATATATATATACATATATCATCAAAACTCAGCTTACCATCTGTCAACATAACATCTCAGAAAGAATATGCCATGCCATGCCATGCCAAAATATAATATGAATGCATCAATATAACTCAGGTGAAATAATAAATCAACCGGAGACCCTACAGTGGTCATGTACGGCTGATTTTATAGCTCAATATCCCATCCAGCCGGAGTCACCAACTGTGACCTGTACGGCCGTGCCGGAGTCACCAACTATGACTTGTACGACACTACACTGCACATAAGTCGGAACTACCTATAGTAGTCTGTACGAATAAGATGGTGAAATAATACGGTCTAGTGCTTCTCTCATCAATCATCTGTGCACATAATCTAAAGTCACCCACCAGTCGGAACCCCTCTAATGGTCTATACGACTGGCATGTCGAAACCACCTCTAGTGGTCTGTACGACATCCACCTACTTGGATCCAAGGCGAGCGTGCGGTGTGGTGAATACTATAAGCACTAATACCAAAGGTGCAGTTTATGAGCTCACAACGCAATCACATCATCATTCATTCATATAAACCATATAAACTCACATGATACTCACCTGTGCATCCACGGCACCAATTCACACATATATATGCATCAATTATCAATTCATAACTCATAATATGCGTGCATGGCATTTTAGAAATATAATTTCATTTAATTTCGATTTATGGGAAAAATAGATAGCATATAGGTAAATACAGAAAAATACTGCCCACTCACTGGTAAGTCGATGGGTCGTAACCCCCGTGACGTCCCTGGATGCACTCATCCTCGGGATAGGTGTCACCTATATGCGAAACAACTATAAAAACGTTAATTTAAACACATAACCAACAATTCGAAATAACTTCTCATACGGTGCTCAATTTGGGTATATGAATATACCACATCGACCTACTCGACGTCACGGACGTCGAGGAATTTTTAGAAAAACTTTTAGGCTTGCCACGCGCCCCCACGCGCCGTGGGTGGCATGGGTCCACGCGCCCCCACGCGCATCGCCTTCCTCAGCTAGTCGCCGGACTTGTTTTTCTGGCGGCCGGTTTCCAGCGAGTTTTGAATTTGCTTGTTCTCCTTCGTTTCTCAACCATTTTCTTCGTATTTTATATCAAAATGAAGCCCCAAACATGTAGATTACGATATACTACTTTAAAGCTCTAAAAACAACTAAATCTCACCGGGAAAATCCAAGAAAAACCGGCCAAACTCGAACCTAGTGATCCCGATGTCCAAAACCTTCAAACGAAGCACTCCGAGCTTCCCTGGGACCTCACTAAGCTCACTATAAGCTTAGAATTCCCTAAAATGCAACATTTCACGTGTGCATGAACAGTGCACATTTTCGGGGTTAGGGTTTCACGACGATTCCGAGGGTTTCACTTCCTAAAACTAGTACCAATCGACTCAGAACATCACAAGGATGAAGAATCATACCTTATTTTCTTCGATCCATGGAGTTTTAGAGGGTTTTGGTGATGTCCGTACGTTTATGGGTGAGAAAGAGTGAGAAAGTCGTGAGGGAGGAGAAAGAGAGAGGCACGGGGAAGAGAGGGAGAAAGGAAGTGTGTGTGGTCCAACACCAAATCCTCACCATCCATTTAATCCCTAACCACACAATATTTTACAAACCAATAATTTTAATCCAAAACTTATATAAAGTTAATCCAAATAACGTCACACACACATACCTTAATACCCGCTAAGGGTAAATCCGTCATTTCACGTCCCCAAATATAAAATCCCGGGACGGGCTGTGACATTGAACATTTGTAAAATTTCGGTTTACGCATTTAAAAAAGTTATATAACCTCTTTAGCAGCAGTTGGACAATTTAATTATATACACAAGTATTTTTTGTGGATTTTTTTATGTGTAAAGTAGAATTATAAATAAATATTGAGAGAGAGTGAATGGGATAGTCGAGTTTGAAAAATCACTAAAAGCCCTACACAAATTATTGAGAAGGTTATCGATTGAAGAAAATGATACGAAAGTAGGCTTCAGTTCGTTACATTAGAAATAAGCAAAATCAATCTCAAATGGTGACTTATAGCCTATAGTTTTTGTGAAAAATTCAAATTTTGAACATTTGCAAATTTTTTGGTTTACACATTAAAGAAATGTTATAAGTTCTTTAGAAGAAGTTAGACAATTTATTGATACACATAAGTATTTTTTATGGATTTTTATGTGTTAAGTAGAAATATAAATAAACATTGGCAAAGAATGAAAGTGATAGACGAGTTTGAAAAATCACTAAATTCCTTACACAAAATATTGAGAAGCCTATCGATCAACACAAATGACACAAAAGTAGGCTTGAATTCGTTACTTTAGAAATTAGCAAAATGGATCTCAAATCATGACTTATAGCTCACAGTTTTTGTGAAAAATTAAAATTTTGAACATTTGCAAATTTTTGGGTTTATGCATTAAATAATGTTTATAAGCTCTTTAGAAGCAATTAGAATATTTATTAACATACCTAAGTAATTTTCACAAATTTTTAATGTGTAAAAATAAAAATAAATAGGCATTGGCAGAGAGCAAAAGTGATATCTAAGGTTTGAAAAGTCACTAAATGCCCTACACACATTCTTGAAAAGCTTATCGATAGATGAAAATGGCACAAAAGTAGACTTAAGTTCGTTACTTTAGAAATTAGCAAAATCGATTCAAAATCATGACTTATATCTCACATTTTTTGGTGAAAAATACAAATTTTGAACATTTGCAAATTTTTTGGTATGGGCAATAAAGAAAGTTTTGAAAGTTCTTTAGAAGCAATGGGACAATTTATTGATACACAAAAGTATTTTTTATAGATTTTTAAGGTGTCGAATAAAAATAAAAAGAAACAGTGGCAGAGAGTGAAAATCATAGCCAAGTTTTAAAGATCACTAAATGCTTTTCATAGATTATTGAGAAGCTTATTGTCGACAAATATAACAGGAGACTAGGCTTAAGTTCGTTACTTTAGAAATTAGCAAAATCGATCTCAAATCATGACTTATAGCTCAGTTTTTGTGAAAAATACAAATTTTGAACATTTGCAAGTTTTTTTGTTATGCGCAATAAAGAAAGTTTTGTAAGTTCTTTAGAAGCAGTTGGATAATTTATTGATACACATAAGTATTTTTTATGGATTTTTAATGTGTTGAATAAAAATATAAATAAACAGTCGATGAATATGACACGAGACTAGGCTTAAGCTTGCTACTTTAGAAATTAGCAAAATCGATCACAAATCGTGACTTATAGCTCACAGTTTTTGTGAAAAATTCAAATTTTGACCATTTTCAAATTTTTTGGTTGGCGCAATAAAGAATGTTTTGTAAGTTCTTTAGAATCAATTGGACAATTTATTGATACACATAAGTATTTTTTATTGATTTTTAATGTGTCGAAAAAAAATATAAATAAACAATGACAGAGAGTGAAAGTCATAGCCAAGTTTTAAAGGTCACTAAATGCTTTTCACAAATTATTGAGAAGCTTATGGTCGACGAATATGACACGAGACTAGGCTTAAGTTCGTTACTTTAGAAATTAGGAAAATCGATCCCAAATCATGACTTATAGCTCATAGTTTTTGTGAAAAATTCAAATTTTGAACATTTGCAAATTTTTTGGTTGCGCAATAAAGAAAGTTTTGTAAGTTCTTTAGGAGTAGTTGGACAATTTACTGATACACATAAGTATTTTTTATGGATTTTTAATGTGTTGAATAAAAATATAAATAAACAATGACGGAGAGTGACAATCATAGCCAAGTTTTAAAGATCACTAAATGCTTTTCATAAATTATTGAGAAGCTTACGGTCGACGAATATGACACGAGACTAGGCTTAAGTTCGTTACTTTAGAAATTAGCAAAATCGATCCCAAATCATGACTTATAACTCACAGTTTTTGTGAAAAATTCAAATTTTGAACATTTGCAAATTTTTTGGTTTGCACAATAAAGAAAGTTTTGTAAGTTCTTTAGAAGCAATTGGAGAATTTGACACACTTGACCCTAATGTCCTCCAAACACCAGGGTAAGCACGTGCTGGCCGACACCCGAAGGTGACGAAGCCATAATAAGATGCATGAGAACAATGAAGAAATGCGAATATAAATCAAACATATAAATTTAAATATAATGAATATACAATTGAGGAACGTGTTCATAGCATACAACTAATCCGAGACACTAAAAGTAATAATATAAAATTTAATGAACAAAAGGGATGGGTCCTAAACCAAGAGGACTCGAAGATGCCGATGCGAGAGTGCCTTGATGCTGGGATTGTACGCTTCGATTCTAAGTTCTGAGGGGGCGCAAAACAAAACATGAGCGGACCAAGTTAATATATAAGTAATACTAAAACAGTTAAACTTTAACATACTAACCCCCAGGTTTAGAAAACTCGTATAGCATAATATGTAATAGGTTTTCCAAAAACCCTAGCATGCCATAAAACCTTCGTAAAACATGTATTATATATAGTGTGCTAAGTAGTGGTATTATCTCCCGCCCGAAGACATATAGAACACTTCATTCGCCCGTAGGCAGTATCATTCTCCCGTAGGCTCCTACATCACCCGACCGAAGACAATATATAAGTATCATTCGCCCGTAGGCTCCTACATCACCCGATCGAAGCCATATAATGATATCATTCGCCCATAGGCAGATCGTATGAATAACTACTAAATAAGCACATAAAAATATTAACATAATATCTCTAATATATATATATATATATATATATATATATATATCTCTCAAACGGAGCTCAGTAACTAAAACGTCATATCGTAACACCACATTCATAAGTAGGTATATAGTCATCAATCATATATACCACAAAGAACGTAAAGTCGATAAAGCATGATAATTCATAAAGCGTGAAACCAATTTACTCATAAACGTTTCATCAAACGTAGTCATTAAATCATGCTTTCATGTATGCATTTCTAATAGTAAAATTATGCATTTTAGAAGGGGTCCACTCACAGATATTTCACCGTCGAAGAGCCGTGCAAACTAGAGAGGATAGAAACGCCATAAACAATTGCACCTAAAAACATAAAGGTACCAATTAATAAAATTGTAAACGGTTGAATTTCGGGAAACGGACGTCATAAACGGATTCAAGACGTTGAAAAACATAAGGGGGACTTCGGGTACCCCCCACGCGCCCTTACGCACTGCCACAGGCCGGTGGCCCGGACGGCCATGCATCGATTTGAATTGTCGAAAAGTTGGCTTGAAAATTCGTTGGCGCCCCCGTGGAGGCGCGTGTGCTCCACGCACCAGCCAATACATGCGCCCACGTGCCGACTAGGTTCTGGGTTTAGGCCTGGGGTTCTGGGCTTCGGCAATTGGGTTGGGTAATTGGGTTTGGGCTTTGGGTTATCGGGTCGGGTCGACCCAATTTTAGGCTGGTTTCGACAAAAAAAATGTCGGAGTTTCCCAAGCTTTAGTCAACCTCGAACCTCAACCATAACCTATGATATACCCACCAAATTGAAGACAAACAAGAGTATATTAGGATTATACCTTTGGTTTCCCAAGTAGTGGTCAGAGTTGGCCGAAAAAGTCATATGAAAACCCACGGTTGAAGCTAGGAATCTGGGTTTTGCTCATCTGAGGTGTTTCTTCGTAGTTTCATATCCAAATTACACCAACATAGTCAGAAATGAACTACAGGGACGAAAAGAGAAGTATTTGGAGTGTTTCATAGGCTTACCCATGTCAGAGGTGGTGGAGATTCACCGGAGAGGGTTGTTGGACTCATTCTCTGTGCTTCACAGAGAATGAGGGAGGGAGAAGGTCTACCACTAGTGGTGGGTGATGGTGTTCATTGCAGGTGTGGGTGTGGGTTTGCTCACGAATAGGGAGGGAGAGGATGAAAGTGAGTTGTGAGAGAGAGGTTCGAGAGTTTAAGAGTTTCCCGAGAGAAGGGAAGAAAGAGAGAAGGAAAGAGAGGTTGGGTTGGGCGGAGACAAACCAAAAGAAGTAGGCCCTACCAGGCACACAAATTAAGACCCAAAAGAAAGAGTTCAAAATATCTAGCCAAATCCCAATGAAGTTACCAAAATACCCTTTCGTTCTAAATTCCGTAAAATTATTCGGGACGGGTTGTTACAAAATTTGTTGATACCATAAGTATTTTTTATCAATTTTTAATGTGTCGAATAAAAAAATAAATAAACAGTGGTGAAGAGTGAAAATCATAGCCAAGTTTTAAAGATCACTAAATGCTTTTCACAAATTATTAAGAAGCTTATGGTCGACGAATATGACACGAGGCTAGGCTTAAGTTCGTAACTTTAGAAATTAGCAAAATTGATCTCAAATAGTGACTTATAGCTCACAGTGTTTGTGAAAAAATTCAAATTTTGAACATTTGCAATTTTTTTGGTTTGTGCAATAAAGAAAGTTTTGTAAGTTCTTTAGAAGCAATTGGACAATTTACTGATACACATAAGTATTTTTTATCGATTTTTAATGTGTCGAATAAAAATACAAATAAACAATGGCGGAGAGTTAAAATAATAGCCAAGTTTTGAAGATTACTAAATATTTTTCACAAATTATTGAGAAGCTTATGGTCGACAAATATGACACAAGACAAGGCTTAAGTTCGTTACTTTAGAAATTATCAAAATCGATCTCAAATCGTGACTTATAGCTCACAATTTTTGTGAAAAATTCAAATTTTGACCATTTTCAAATTTTTTGGTTTGTGCAATAAACAAAGTTTTGTAAGTTCTTTAGAATCAATTGGACAATTTATTGATAAACATAAGTATTTTTTATCGATTTTTAATATGTCGAAAAAAAATATATAAATAAACAATGACGAAGAGTGAAAATTATAGCCAAGTTTTAAAGATCACTAAATGCTTTTCACAAATTATTGAGAAGCTTACAATCGACGTATATGACACGAGACTAGGTTTAAGTTTGTTACTTTAGAAATTAGCAAAATCGATCTCAAATTGTGACTTATATCTCACAATTTTTTGTGAAAAATTCAAAATTTGACCATTTTCAAATTGTTTGATTTGTGCAATAAAGAAAGTTTTGTAAGTTCTTTAGAATCAATTGGACAATTTATTGATACGCATAAGTATCTTTTATCGATTTTTAATGTGTCGAAAAAAAATATAAATAAACAATGATGAAGAGTGAAAATCATAGCCAAGTTTTAAAGATCACTAAATGCTTTTCATAAATTATTGAAAAGCTTACAATCGACAAATATGACACGAGACTAGGCTTAAGTTCGTTACTTTAGAAATTAGCAAAATCGATCCCAAATCGTGACTTATAGCTCACAGTTTTTGTGAAAAATTCAAATTTTGAACATTTGCAAATTTTTTGGTTTGCGCAATAAATAAAGTTTTGTAAGTTCTTTAGAAGCATTTGGAGAATTTGTTGATGCACATAAGTATCTTTTATCAATTTTTAATGTGTCGAATAAAAATATAAATATAAACTGTGGCGAAGAGTGAAAATCATAGCCAAGTTTTAAAGATCACTAAATGCTTTCACAAATTATTGAGAAGCTTATGGTCGACGAATATGACACGAGGCTAGGCTTAAGTTCGTTACTTTAGACATTAGCAAAATCGATCTCAAATAGTGACTTATAGCTCACAATTTTTGGGCAAATTTCAAATTTTGATCATTTGCAAATTTTTTGGTTTGTGCAATGAAGAAAGTTTTGTAGGTTCTTTAGAAGCAGTTGGACAATTTGCCCATACACATAAGTATTTTTTATTGATTTTTAATGTGTCGAATAAAAATATAAATAAACAGTGGCAGAGAGTGAAAATCATAGCCAAGTTTTAAAGATCACTAAATGCTTTTCACAAATTATTGAGAAGCTTATGATCGACGTATATGACACGAGACTAGGCTTAAGTTTGTTACTTTAGAAATTAGCAAAATCGATCTCAAATCGTGACTAGTTCACAATTTTTGTGAAAAATTCAAATTTTGACCATTTTCAAATTTTTTGGTTTGCGCAATAAAGAAAGTTTTGTAAGTTCTTTAGAAGCATTTGGAGATTTTGTTGATACACATAAGTATTTTTTATCAATTTTTAATGTGTCGAATAAAAATATAAATATAAATAGTGGCGAAGAGTAAAAATCATAGCCCAGTTTTAAAGATCACTAAATGCTTTTCACAAAATATTGAAAAGCTTATGGTCGATGAATATGACACGAGGCTAGGCTTAAGCTCGTTACTTTAGAAATTAGCAAAATTGATCTCAAATAGTGATTTTATAACCCACAGCTTTTGTGAAAAATTCAATTTTTTGACCATTTTCAAATTTTTTGGTTTGCGCAATAAAGAAAGTTTTGTAAGTTCTGTAGAAGCATTTGGAGAATTTGTTGATACACATAAGTATTTTTTATCGATTTTTAATGTGTCGAATAAAAATAAAAATAAAAATAGTGGCGAAGAGTGAAAATCATAGCCAAATTTTAAAGATCACTAAATGCTTTTCACAAAATATTGAGAAGCTTACGGTCGACGAATATGACACGAGGCTAGGCTTAAGCTCGTTACTTAAGAAATTAGCAAAATTGATCTCAAATAGTGATTTATAGCTCACAATTTTTGTGAAAAAATCAAATTTTGAACATTTGCAAATTTTTTGGTTTGTGCAATGAAGAAAGTTTTTTAAGTTCTTTAGAAGCAATTGGACAATTTTTTGATACGCATAAGTATTTTTTATCGATTTTTAATGTGTCGAATAAAAATAAAAATACATAGTGATGGAAAGTGAAAATCATCGCCAAGTTTTAAAGATCACTAAATGTTTTTCACAAATTATTGAGAAGCTTATGATCGACGAATATGACATGAGAATAGGCTTAAGTTCGTTACTTTGGAAATTATTAATATCGATCTCAAATCGTGACTTATAGCTCACAGTTTTAGTGAAAAATACAAATTTTGATCATTTGCAAATGTTTTTGTTATGCGCAATAACGAAAGTTTTGTAGGTTCTTTAGAAGCAGTTGGACAATTTGCCCATACACATAAGTATTTTTTTATTGATTTTTACTGTGTCGAATAAAAATATAAATAAACAGTGGCGAGGAGTGAAAATTGTAGCCAAGTTTTAAAGATCACTAAATGCTTTTTACAAATTATTGAGAAGCTTACGATCGACGTATATGACACGAGACGAGACTGGGCTTAAGTTCGTTACCTTAGAAATTAGCAAAATTGATCTCAAATCGTGACTTATAGCTCATAGGTTTTGTGAAAAATTCAAATTTTGAACATTTGCAATTTTTTTGGTTTGCGCAATAAAGAAAGGTTTGTAAGTTCTTTAGAAGCAATTGGACAATTTATTGATACACATAGGTATTTTTTATCGATTTTTAATGTGTCGAATAAAAATAAAAATAAATAGTGATGGAAAGCGAAAATCATTGCCAAGTTTTAAAGATCACTAAATACTTTTCACAAATTATTGAGAAGCTTATGGTCAATGAATATGACTCGAGACTAGGCTTAGGTTCGTTACTTTTGAAATTAGTAAAATCGATATCAAATTATGACGCTCACAATTTTTGTGAAAAATTCAAATTTTGAACATTAGCAAATACTTTGGTTTATGCATTAAAGAAAGTTTATAAGCTCTTTAGATGCAATTAGAACATTTATTAACACACCTAAGTAATTTTCACAATTTGTTATGTGTAAAATAGAAAATAAATAGACATTGGCAGAGAGTGAAAGTGATATCCAAGTTTTGAAAAGTCACTAAATGCCCTACACAAATTCTTGCGAAGCTTATCGATAGACAAAAATGGCACAAAAGTAGGCTTAAGTTCATTATTTAGAGATTAGCAAAATTGATCCCAAATCGTGACTTATACCAACAGTTTTTGTGAAAAATATAAATTTTTGGTTCACGCATGAATTTTTTTTATTTTATAAGTTCTTAAGAAGCAGTTGTACAATTTATTGATGCACATAAGTATTTTTTTTAGATTTTTATGTGTCAAAAAGAAATATAAATAAACATTGGCGGAGAGTCAAAGTGATAGATCAGTTTGAAAAATTGTTGAAAAACTTATCGATCAATGAAAATGATACGAATGTTGGCTTAAGTTCGTTACTTTAAAAATTAGTAAAATAGATCTCATATCATGACTTATAACTCATAGCTTTTGTGAAAAACTGATATCTTGAACTTCTTCGAATTTTTAGTTTACGCATTAAATAATGTTTTATAAGTTCTTTAGAAGCAGTTGAACAATTTATTGATACATAGACGTATTTTTTACGAACTTGTTATTTGTTAAGTTGAAATTTAAATAAACATTGACGGAGAGTGAAAGTGATAGTCGAATTTGAAAAATCATGAAATGCCCTATGCAAATTATTGAGAAACTTATAGATCGACGAAAATAACACGAACGAAAATAGGCTTAAGTTCATTACTTTAGAAATTAGGGAAATCGATCTCAAATCGTGACTTATAGCTCACAGTTTTTGTGAAACATTTAAATTTTGAACACTTGTAAATGTTTCGGTTTATGCATTTAAAAAGGTTTTATAAGCTCTTTAGCAGCAGTTGGACAATTTATTGATACATGCAAGTATTTTTTGTGGATTTTTATGTGTCATGTAGAAATATAAATAAATATTGGTGGAGAGTGAAGGGATAGTTGAATTTGAAAAATCACTAAAAGTCCTACACAAATTATTGAGAAGGTTATCCAATGAAAAATGACACGAAAGTAGTCTTCAATTTGTTATTTTAGAAATAAGCAAAATCGATCTCAAATCGTGACTTATAGCTTACAGTTTTTGTGAAAAATTCAAATTTTGAACATTCGCAAGTTTTTTGGTTTACGCATTAAAGAAATTTATAAGTTCTTTAGAAGTACTTACACAATTTATTGATACAC